TTATAATTGTGTATATATACTTAAAAAGAAACAAAAGAAATGAAAAGCAAAAATTTGAAAAGTGAAAATTTAAAAATTGAAACTTAAAAAAATTTTTGAAATTTTTTTTTTTGTTATTTTTTTTTTTTTTTAATTTTTAATAATTAATTTGAAAATTTTTGGAATTTCAAAATCTGGAAAGTGAAAGAATTTTTAATATTTAACAATTTACAATGAAAAGTAAATTTAAACTGAGAATAACACAAAACGAGTAACTTAGCTGGTGCTGCTTATTCTGCTCTCTTCCGCGCCTTTCTCAACTGTATTTGTTTACTGTTGTTTTATATTGATCCGCGTCGGTACCAACTTGATGCTGATTAATACCCTTCCACTTTGCAAACAGAACCCACAAACTAGTTTTCTCCCACTTTCGACTACTTATTTCTTTTATAGTTATTTGTATTTTCCAAAATTGAAATTTGGTGAAGGGAGTTTTCTTTTTCTGGCTTACGTTTTTATCCTAATTTTTATTTTTTATAATAAATTATTATGATAATTTTTCACTCTGAAGTCTTGTATATGCATAAAAACAAAGGTATACATATGAATATGTGTAGACGAAACTCATAAAACATCTTACTAATCAATACATATCCACAATGATGGTAAACTTAGCGTACTTGAATATATTTATGTGCCCTTTTAGTAGTTGTGTTTATTTCCTTTTTTTTTTAAATGACAATAATTAAAATATTTAATCTGTCATAATTGAATGTTTAATTCACTCGCTAATTTACTTTGGGGGCTTTCACAATTTGAATAAATTTTTTAACTATATTTAAAATTGCTATTCACCCATTTGCTGTATGCCCATATATTTATTGTTGTTTGTTTTACTTTTAATCTTAAAAAAAAAAAAATTGAAATAACATTTTCTGCAAATTTACAATTGTTGTTTGATGTGTATCCTCAATTTGTAGCGATAACAGATAACTAAAATTTTAAAAAGAGGACAATGTTTTCAGTTTCTGTTCCCAAGTGTATCTATCTTTATTATGAACAAAAAATTGAAAACTAAAAACTCAAAAAATCATTTTTAACCATATCTAATAAACAAGTGTTTAAACAAAAACGTAGTGTACATAAACAAAAGTGTAAAACATGTACTCTACATCGTTTATGAAATATTTGAAGAGTTTATGAGTCCATATATATCCTGTATCCTTAGCAATATAATGTTTTAAATATTACCTAATATATTTCGTCCACGCGATTATTAGCCAATGCCAAATACTATTGGCGAAGTATGAAGAATTACTACCCAGAATAATCGATGTATTTACTACCAAACTGAAAAATATTCTAATACGTGAAATCTCCGATGAATCGAAATAAGTTAATTTTATACCAAAGTAATTTGGTTGTAGTTTAATAAAGAGAAAGTTAATTTGACCTAATTGCAAGTTTGCAAGTGTGGAGCCTTGATACTCCGAATATTTCACAAAATCTAAGCCACACCTTTAGCTCTAATTGTAAAGAGTCAAATGTTTATAATTTGACTCTTAGTGCATTAAGAACATCCATAGCAGCATATGAATTTATATTAAAAATTGAACTTAGCGGTACTCTAATTCGATTTTGCAAAGTTCTAATTTGTGGGGTTTCTTGTTTGATTTTGTTTGATCGGTTAGTGGTGCAATGTCAACAATTACTGAGCTCTGTTTCTTTTATTCGTGTGTATCCACCATTTGAGGAGCCATCGAGCCAAGACTCTCCGCCTGGTATGTTCAGTGCCGTTTGGTCCTGCACAGCTGTTGTAGCTAATAATCCCAAAATCGTAAATGGTGCATCTAATATAGTCGGCCCATTCAATATTGTTTGCGAATCTAGGTTATTCAGCTGATATTAACTGCTGATAACCGTTTACTTGTCAACAAATGCAAAACTATTCGGATATACCGATGTTTTTCATCAATCTGCTGTGATATCTTCTCTTAGACCCGAAACGGTCGCGAATTCGGCTAGTTTCTCGATTCACGCTTAATACGACGTTTGAAATGGCAATCCAAAAAATCGAAATTGAATCAAATTTTGAGTAACGTCAGTATATTTAAAATTAATTCTATCAAAGAGAGATTATTTTCGACAAAAAAGTTTGGCCTGACGAAGTATTATTAGTTATACCTAGTCAGCCTGTCCTGTAAATGACCACAATTTTGCTCCAAGAAACTAGATCATTTCTTATCTGTTGTAAGTACTTACGTTTAAGCTCTCATAATTACGAATATCAGGCTATTGCGTTTACTGAAACTTAATTGAAGCCAAATGTTCAGAATGTGACAGTGATTGCTTCTGAGTATCGAGTGTACAGATTAAACAAAATTGGAGGCAGAGTCTTAAATGATGTGGTAAATACCCTTCCGTCTCGACTGTTGTTATCGTCTGTTTAAGTTGGGGATGAGCTTGCCAGCATTCGGCTACATTTAAGTAACAACGTTACTTTTATAATTCCTATATTCCTCCTATATTGTTACTTACTTAAAGCATTTCTGCCTCATTTGCCAAATCTGATTACAAATGAATGCTGTTGAGATCATACTGGTGCTAGGTGATCCTAACTTACCGGATGTTTCCTGGACTTTCGTTGTTAAACGAAACTACTTTGACTCTATTCTTAGTTTGCATACCACCGTTCGGGAAGAACCCAACTATTCTGATCTCGCTGAACGACTCACCTAGAAGCTTTAATTTACCTTCAGATTTCAACAAGAATGCTAGCTTTCCATTTGTCATTCAGAAAACTAATTACGTCAGACCTTACATTGCGCTATCTAATGTGTCTTGAAGTTTCAATTATGATGACATCGGAAAGAGCCTGCATGATGTTTACTGGATTCTTCAGCTGAGTGTTTACCCGTTAAACTCTATGAATGAGCGTTCACTTGTTTGTTTGTTTAAAAATAAAGAACAATTCGCAATAAAAGAGCGGACGTTTTCAAAAATATAAGAAATCTGTCTTGCTATTCGATTTTGCAAATTATTTTGGAGTAAGAAATAAGTTTAATACTCTGAACGTTATATATAATGCATACATTAATAAAATAAAAAACTCGTTACAGTAAGATCCAAAATACTTCTTTAAATTTTTTCAAAGCGTAAAGCGTCGGGTCGTTCCACGCTCATGCATTTGAATAGCATTTTATCTCGCAGTCCCTTTGATATTTGTGGGATGTTTGCTTTCGAACAATCTTTTGCTTGAATGAACCATGCAATTCCCTGTTATCCATATTATCTAGAAACTTTTGATGTTTTTCCTAGTGTTACATTTACTAATCTAAAAGACTGTAATGCTCTAATTGCTATAAAAACATCATGTTGTGCTGGTCGGGATGGTGTTCCTTTATACCATATTCCATAATCCTTTAACATTCTTACTTAAGTCTTCTCTTAGACCTACCATCCTATTCAGAATATTTGAAAGTGCTTTGCAAACGATCTCAAGCTATTTTACTCTTTTAATTTCTTAGAGGATGTTAAGTGTCTGCGTTTCAAATTAACCGAATTATATGTCTGCTGTAAACGTAATATAACTTGAAAAGCTGGGAACAATTAACATCTTGAAAGCGGGTCCAGATTGCTATTGACTATTTTATTATCACCAATAAATTGGATTGTATTTCCAACTTCGCTGATTTTGGGGTTATGCAGGATCCCAAATTAAACTTTCATTTGCTAGTTTCCGCCTCCAATAACCATGCGAAAGCTTTGCTGGAATTTATTAAACCGTTGCCCGTACGAATTTAGCGATCCTTGTGTTAATAAAAGAATGTTTACCACACTTCTTAGCCCTATATTAAGGAGTTTCGAAATATGGCCCCCGAAGTATAGATGTGACGCTGATCAAATCGCGTCAGTGTAAGCAACCTTTTGAAAATCATATCTTAAATTGAGAATAAGTTGCATTTGCTGCTTTTTTTACAGCTTATAAAATGATGCCGAAAATTTCATACCGAATAACGTAAGCAAAACTTAAATTAGTACACAATAGATGCAAATTAGACAAATAACTTATAAATATAAGATCCGTTGTAATTATTTCATCGTTTACATTTTCTCGTTTAATTTTTTTGTATACATAAAAACCACATGATTTTCTAATTCCCATAAAATCTCGAAAAGAGTCAGAAAAATGGAAGTTTCATCAAATAGTAATAACTCGTCGTTGTGTCAACTCCTTAATTTTTACTTAACCATTGCGCAGAGCATCTTTTCTGTTATTGTATCACAAATGATATAGGGAGTGGAAAAAAAGGCAGATTAAGAATTGTGAGTTAATTTACATACACAGTGTTTTTGCCTATATACATATAAACATTTTATTCATAAGGTTTGCGACCGGATAAAAATTATAGAAGTAAACTTTTGATTTCCTGGATTATGACAAATCTAAACTTTCAAGTTTAATTGTATTGAAATAAAAGACTAAATTCGCTTTAAGATGTTCTGCAAAAATTAAAAAGTTAGTTAGATTACACATTTACTTATAAAGAAAGTAAATTCATATGTTAATATATCAATATATTATATAAAAAAAAGTAATATGATAAATATTAAAATTCAAAGTTCAATTTCAAAATTCAAAATTTTCCTAAGAAATGAAAATACGAAATTATATGAGTTATGTGAAATTATTTAATTTCATTCCATTTCGTCAAAAAATATACAAAATTTTACGTTTGTATGATTTTGTTATTGATTTTAAACAAACAAACGTCAAATTTGGCTCATATTTCCCCATTATTTTTTTCGAAAGTCATTCCAAATGATGAAACCCATACATAACTGTCAACTAGAAGGTTCTCTAGGTACGTTCTTCAAATGAAAGTTAGTTAACTAAAAGATACATAATTAGGGCACTGTTTTCAAGCTATTGAGAAACACTAAATAAATATATGAATATATTGTTATCGATAACTCCATGTAAGATTGTTTTATCGTATAAATTGCGTTGGTACAATTATGATACAGTATTTCTCCGCAATTAAATAATTGCCCAATTATACAGTGAACTTTGTGATTATAATATTGCAATTTTAAAATATAATTAAATTTTTCTGCAATTTTAACTCAATTATGGTCACGATTATTGCATCTAATAATAAATAATGTATAGTCATTATTGAATTAATGAGAAATATAAGTGCGAGAAATTTAAATAGTAAAGCCTTTACTTATTTGCCCAAACACGTATGGCTCTGTGTCAAAAATATTTGCATATCAAACACCTACATCATACGTAAATAGTATAAAACTGCGTTAAGCTAATATGGGCACCACAATGGGTAAAAATGGTGGCCATTTTTTGGATGCCTTGCCATCGCAGGTAAATTTCTTCACACTACAGATGTTACAGAATTCTTTGTATAAAAATTCGTAAATGTTTTAATATTTAGGCTACTCTACATGTGGTTATGCTAGGCTTAGATTCGGCTGGTAAAACCACGGCTTTATACCGATTAAAGTTCGACCAGTATTTAAATACAGTGCCTACTATCGGATTCAATTGCGAGAAGGTAAAGTTTCATTTGCTTTCCCTTTATCTTTAACATTATTGTTTAATTCAATAAGAGAAACTATCCACCAGAACTACTCGAAATTCATAACTCCTACTGTAAGTGATATTCGAAAATATAAATCTTATTCGAAAACATAAATCTGAGAAGAAACGGCAGCGTAGAGCGCACAAATGGTAGTTATGGATTATTTATAAGCGAAAGAGAATGAAATAGGCTAATTGGAAAAGCAATTACCTCGCCACTCTTCGCCTGAAGAACTTGTAAAAAACCTAAAATACGACTAGAAGCTTAAGTTTATTTAAAAATGATTCGCGCTATACCATGTGACATTTGTGAAGTTTGCAATGTTGTTGAGTCTGCTGAGCATTTAATCTTCAGATGTCACAGGCTTGATGGCATTAGAGATTCCTTTAGCTTCTTCAAGTTATATGGCTGTCTCCTCGATCTCTTTGCAGCAAAAAATGTACGTCATCTCGGGGAACTAACTTGCTTTATTAGAAAAGCCAATTTATCCTTTTAGAATTTTTCTTTTTCCTCCTCTTTTTTTTTTTTTTCTTTTTTTGCGTTCAATCATTTCCAATTACCATAACATTCCTTTTCGTTTTCAGCCAAAGTTTGCAACACTGTCTGACTTTCAAAAACTCAACAAGCATACTTACACACACACACACACACACACACACACACACACACACACACACACACACACACACACACACACACACACACACACACACACACACACACACACACACACACACACACACACACACACACACAAACACACACACACACACACACACACACACACACACACACACACACACACACACACACACACACACAATTACATATAACATGCTCACTCCAGTTATTACGGCCGTTCTTTTTTTTGTTTTTTGTTACGTTTCATACATAATCGTGACTAAAAATTACAACAATTTATTATTTGGACATATAAGCCACAAATTTATTGGCTTAGTCCATCTCTTTTTAACATACCAAAAAAAAAAAAGCTTAAGTATATTTTTATATGTTTAGACTAATGAAATAAATTGTGATCTCTCTGGACATTTTGGAATCCTTTCGATAGTCTTTCATCCCTTGCTGAACACAAACGAATGTCCTGCCTAGCAACTGCAAGCAATTTAACGATATTTAGGGTTAGAATGGATTAGAATTTAATTGCAAAAGTACTCCCACATATAAAAAATGGTTAGCATGTTTAACTATATGCGAATTTGGCTTTTATAAGCTTTGTAGTTACAAAATAAATAAAATTGGGATTTATGAAACCAAAAGGTTACCTGCGTAAAGCGAAAAGCTGCAGAGAAGTTGAAGTCCTACCCGTTAATTTTTAATATCTCTAATGTAAGTCTTTCTAGATAGTGTTTACGTTCGCTTAAAAGCATTTTCGACACACATACCTTAGTGAAAGGACTATTTAATGGAGGCTAAGCGTGCTTCGAAAATAGTCCGCGTGCCTGACAAAAAAATTAATATAGGATTATATACCTTTTTGCGATTTTCTGCGTATTTTTGCAACGGGCGGGGTGCAAAGCGCGATTGTTTTCGTCATAGGCAACGCAAACTGTACGGTTTAACATAAAACATTGGAGAGTGGAGTATGAAACAGAACATCTGAGCTTGAAAGGATCCTTTTTTAACGGTACGATCGCGGACGGTTGAAAGCAATTAACAAAAAAAATTATAAAAAACAGTTCTGCACACATTTTAAAATTTACACGCGATGTTCTCCAAACACCGAGAGTCGAACATTGAACTGCTTTATTCAAATGGCAAAAGACAAAACTTTTAAGAACCTACGAACAATGGACGTGTAGATTGTTGAATTTTAGCTTTTTTTTGAGTCTAAAAATTGGCCCCAACTGCACTGTGTGCCGCAAATCTCTTTCATTAAAGATGTCTCACGAGTGCATCTCCGCTGTTGCGTTTTTAATGTCTGAAAAATATTATTTGTTGGCAATTAAATGTATACATAACATAATCTCTTCGAATATTTTACTTTGTAACTTTCGATCTCGTGAATATATATGAAGGTAGAAGAAAACGTTAAACACGTTCCTGGCATGGGTGCATTTTACAACAAACCCAAGTACGGGATTTGTGTTTTCAACCAAATACTAGAATTTATACAATGAAAGCAGGATGGTCCCTTCGTGTGTTTTATGGAGTAAACATATCTAAGAAGGATTTCTTGTCCCTTTGCTGAGTTCGGTAGCGACCACAATGATGAAATTTCCGCCAAAACTGAAAAAGACGTATATCTAGTCAATGACCGTAACTCTTAATAGTAGCAGGTATTATCAGAAAGAATTCTGTGAGCGTAAAATAGGAGATAAATGCTGACTCGCCTATTTAATCGCTAATTGTGAACGTAGTAGTAGAGTTTTTGCAATCGGACTTATAAACGAATATTTGGATTCAGAAATACAATCGCAGGATCGATGAGGATATTTTTGTGTGAAATTCAGATTTCTATCTTAATATTTGAGATTGCGCGGACTCACAAAAATGATCCCTCAATTTGATGGGTTTCCGTGGAAGTAGATATACCATAGTTACAAATAGAAAAATAGGCGTGACATAGAAAAGGGAGTAGAAATATTCACTTGCTGCATGAAATAATTTCATGGTCTTATACAACATTTAATTTTTGTTCAGTCCTGTTTGCAGAATTTTTGAGCTTAGAATTACAAACCTATCCAATTGATGGGTGCCGCAAATGTAATGTTAAAGTCATCATTGCTTATTAAGAAACATAAGTTTAAATTTATAGGAAATACTGACTGATATCGTTGTAATTAATTTTAATTGTAAGAGTAATGTATAGTCATTGAAAGTATAAAACTTTTCATGCTGGAATTAACCTTGCAGATTCAGGGAACGGCTGGTCGAGCAAAGGGCATCCATTTTTTAATTTGGGATGTTGGTGGTCAGGAAAAATTAAGGCCACTCTGGCGGAGTTACACCCGGTAAATAATTGACAATTGATTTGCCAAATTCGTAAACGTAACACTTAAAAATTATTTCAGATGTACAGATGGTATATTGTTCGTTGTTGATTCTGTAGATGTGGAGCGCATGGAGGAGGCGAAAATGGAATTACTGCGTATGGCAAAATGTCCAGATAATCAAGTTAGTATAACATCATATTAAACTGTAGCTTCAACTTTAATTTTTGCTGCCAGCAGCTCCTTTCTTTCTCTTTAGAGACAGTAGAACCAGAGAAAAGTAAATGACAAGAGCGACTAAGAAATTTTCCAAAATAGGAAGTAATATATGTCTTAAGTACTTTTGTTATTTCCCTAAAGACTTAAGTAATAAGACGTTTCTACACTTTCTTTAAAATCAGAGATAGTAAAATCTTGGGAACTTTTACTGTCTCTGTTATAATTAATGGCAGTAGCATGCTAATTGGCAACCATTTAATTGCCTATTCCTTCATTTTAATCTGTATGGGCCAAAATTCTGTTAATAGATTCTGGAATTCGCGTCGCATGGCATTAAACGTGAGCAAAGTAGAGGCATGTACAGTTCTGCGTTTTTGAGTGAATAAGCGCTATGATATTCATTTGTTTACTCTCTCTCCCTCTCTTACAGTCTTTAATAGTTTGTTTTTATCAGACGCCTTTTGATAAATCTAATAATTTTGCTGCGCAAATGTTGCTACAGAAATGTCTTACACATATAATGTTTTTGTATACACTCATATTATCTAATATGTATTGTTTATATACATGTAGATATTGTTATACGCCTTCATACTCTTATATTCTTGTATAGTGTATTTTCATTGATCTCACAAGCTCAGATTATTGAACTAAGATGATTCTTTCCACATCTGTTCACTACACAGCAAAAACTCCTTTTGCACGTCATGGAATTATTTCTAAGTCCACTTGACAACAGCAAAATACAAATGTGGAAAGACATACCGAGATTTAATTCTATGCTCTGTATAATGTAACATTCTCATACGCTACCAAATAATCGTTTCATGGATGCATCATTGTATTAATGATTTTACAACAGCATAACAAGTGTGGTGAGCCAATAGCCGCACGCATACAGACTTTCTTTAGCGACAGTCAAGTGGGACGTAAGTACTCTTATTCTTTCTTGTCTTATTATCCTTTCCGAATTTTGATGGTTGGTTGTTTTCTACAATAGGAATGCAAATCATCCTTCGGTCTGAAAGATAATTCTTTCCCTTACTTTGACCCACTTGTTGTTTCAGATCCATGGTAGTCTCGTCCAGACAAGGATATTACCTATAAAGGACGAAGACAAGAGAATTGGGCTTTCTTTTCCTATTAATCACCAATAAACAAACAGCTGGCGTGATTGTGGGCTGAACGTCAAGTATATCTCGTTACAGGTTTTATATATATAATAGAACGGTGTGTTATTTCGGTATACGTCAAACAATAATGGTACATTATTAAATGGTACGGTAAATCTAATGGTTTTGCAGACATTTACGTATTGAAGTGTCAATTAAACTGGGGCGTGCTACACACTCTGCCCGCTGGTTTTCTGGTCGACTCGCTTGTTTTCTTCTGCTCTGAGAGGTCTAGTGGTACAAGATTGTACCATAAACCAAACAAATTTAACAAGTAGGTGGAATTATTCATAATAGTTTTCTTGCAACTAGCTCCTGGAATTAACTCCGAGTTATACACCAGAATCGTTACAATGTACACATGTGGACAGAAAAGTAGGTGTAAGGTGCAGTTTTCAATTCTATGCCACAGAAATTCTATAAAGTAGCTTGCACAACGTTTTCAAATGTGACAACACTGTTCAAAATTAATTCTAGTAGGTTTTGCAGAGCTTCAAGACTTTTGTTTTAGTAGCTTTTTCATGCGAACGTTGAGATAAATATACCCTCTTTAAAATTATAACAAGCAATTGTTTTTGTTGACAAGGAAATGCAATATAAATTTATTTTTGTAATAATATTAGATGGGTCGATCACATCAGGAGGCGAGGAAGGACGGCTAGTTCATTAGTTTCAGAATAAGGGAAATATGTGGGACACGAAATTTCGTCACGCATGCTTAAGACTCCCAAATAAACCACTGAAAGAGGAGAAAAAATTAAAAATACTTCTATTGCTTCCCGTAATTATATGATAGTTTTAGCAAAGCGAGATCCCTTCATGTTATCTATAGAAATTTCCAATGAAATTGGGAATGTTCTATTTTCTCGAACTGTTTGTCGATGATTATTAGGTACCAATCTAACAGAAGAAATAGTTTCGAAATACCTTTTGCTCAGAAAAGTTAATTTGGAGAAAAGCCTATAAAAGTTTATGCGGAACAGAAGGCAAAAAAAGTTGAGAAGTTTATTTTAGGGTGATGAAACAAAAAAAATTTGTTTGGAAATGGTGTGGAAAAAAATGTACGTCGCTCAAAAGGAAAAAAATCCCACATTGGACTTATTAAAGAACTGTGAAGCACAACACGGGAGATTTATGGTACACGATTGCATTTCTTAGGACGGTGTACCGAAACATCTAACAGAAAACACTGTGGCTAGATTTATATATAAAAACTCGTTAGAAACTCTAATCCTACCGTACACCGATGCAAATATGCCAGTGGAATGGATATTTCACGAACATTTCGTACAGTTTGATAAAAGCATGGTTTTTGGAGTATAACTTGGATGCTATCAATTGGCTAAATTAGTCCTCCGACGTCATTCCTATGGCGGGAGAACTAAAGAAGTTGGAGTTTTGTAAAATCAAACGCAAACTCATAAATTTAAGCTCACACATAAAAGCTGTAGCGAAACAAATAATCTTACACATAAAATTTGCAGTGCTTTCGTTCTATATTCCACCTTCGCAATCGTTTTCTCAACAGAAACTCTATAATTTATTCTCCGAGAAAGATTATTATTGGCAAGAATATTCGAAAGTCACCATCTGCAATTGAATACTGTTTGTACGTCGAAAAGGAATTGAACATTACCTTAAAAATTTTCTGCTATTTTGGTCTTAAATCGCCATGGGTTTTCAAAGACTACTCTTTCGACATTTCTCTGTCTATGCACAACAACGAAGATACTCCAAGTTACGTCTTCAGGAATCTAATAGCTGAAACAACCCAAGTACTGGAGAGTAACGGTTGGGATCTTTTATACACAGATGGGGACAGGTTCTTCTCAATCACATATTTCACAAAAGTACTTCAACTTTCACAACCGAAGCAAGAGCTATCCCTCACGCTGCGAACCTTTCACATAAAAGCAAACTCAAAACCGTTATTGTTACTGACAGTTTGCATTTGCAAACTTGTTTGCACAGTCTGCATTAAAAGCTATACCATCGACTTCGAGATGGAGCACCATCAACGAATTAAGGAATATCATTACAACACCTGGCGAAAAAATTAAAATGTTGTGGGTACCTAGTCATATGGGTTTATTGGGTAATCAGCAGGCTGATCGAGCGGCGAAGTATGCTGCTTCTGCACCTCTAGTTATGGATGATGTCATGGAAAAGTTGGACTTTCAAAGATACATTGGAAGAAAAGTTAAAGAGAAAATTACAGAGGGAAATCTACAATACCATCATCAGCACTACTCTTTTGTTAATCCTCAATTAACTCCACCTTTATACCCAACAAATGTTGAGAAAATCAAGACCCAAACATTTTCGGGAATTCGCCTTTGTCACACAATTGCAACTCACCAATGGATTTTGAAGAAGTTTTTCTCCCCAATCTGCAATTGAGGATAAATTCTCACTATAAAGCACATTCTCTGTGACTGCCTTAATTTTACTTTGGCTATCAGTATTGCATTTAGAGCGATTAACCCTGGAATGGAATGGAATTCTACAAAAAGCTACAAAACAGAATATCTATACAATATAATACTTTATCAAAACCGCTAGACTCAATATCTAATGTACTTTTGTAAATTAGAGCCGATGGCCTCTGTTATTAGTGCTCAATGTCTTTTCTTTTAGTCTAAGAACTTATTTCATTAGTCTAACATTATAATAATTATAATAATAACTTTAAAACCATTTAGTTTATATGTATATTTAGTTTATAAATAAAAGATAAATATAAAAGAGAAAAATAGAGAAGAATTCCCTCATAAAATAACGTACACCTATTTTTCCGTTTACACGTGCATGTCGATTTCAAGACGATTCGTTTAATTTTTTTGGATATGTTCGTACTTGTTTCTACATAGAAAACGTTTTGCAAATTTCACATCTTGACTGATAGATGTTTCGTGACTTTATACCACATAAACGATAAACTTTCCATTCAGTGCAGTTCTCTGCAAAGTTATATTTAGTGGGTTTAGACTTAAACTTATTTTTATAGTTGACGTTAAGTTTTCTTCTCGACCCAAGCTTGAAAGGAATTTCTTCATTTAAACCTTTGAAGTACGCTTGTTTCTGATACAATTGGCCCTACAGGTAGCTATCCCTAAAAGCTTGGCGATAACTTTGATCACAATAATAGACAACGTGGTTGTTATTATTAAAAAATGCTTGGACTAATTTATCGAAAATATACTATGTGATTTTTTAAAAAACTTCTTGTGAAGTTGGAATCGAAAAAATTAAAATAATTTGACTGATGGCGTGTCATTTTCAAGGACTGTTTTGCAAGACAAACGCGCTTAAAGTTTTAAAATGTACTATAAATGTGCATTTTTAATAACAATAAATTGTTTTTGATTAATCTGAGTTCCAACACCATAAAATTTGCCTCTCATGTTCGAATATTCTTATTCATTTTCTTGCCTCGACAGTTTGTTGCAGGAAAATGCTTCTTTTCCTGCATATGTCAAAACCAGAAGTTCACGTTTTATATTTCAAATGTTAAGAAATAATGCAGAAACCGATAAGAAAATATATCATTCTATAGCGAAATTCATAACAAACTTGAAGAACTTCGTGTTAAATTTTTAATTTCTTGGTAGATGCACTGAAAGCCTCGGAATGGCACTCGCACCTATGTCTGCTTAAAAGGTTAACTTGATGCTAATATATGGTTTCTTTTTACAATGCTTTTAAATGAATGGGAACACTTTCCAAAAATACCTGTTAATGTATTAGACGAGCTGGCAATCAACGGGCTGGATATTAGGCCGCAACTTCACTATAGACATTCCTGCCGTAGCACTCAGGAAAGGGTTCGAAATTTTCAAGGAAAAGTTTTGTCGCCAGCAACGAATTTTTTCCCGTATATTCTGAAAACTTTGAAGTATCTATTAAATTCATAAAAAAGATTTTTTTAAAAATGTGTAGTTGTGTTACTCGTTGAACTAAATTAAAATAAAAGAAGAAAATATCTTTAAAATAAACATAAACAAATAAATTAAAAAATATACATTAATATATTGCCCTCCGTGATTAAATCCAGCGAGATCTTAATATATGCTAATGATGTGAAACTGTTTTTTTCTTTTTCCGTACAATCGCAATCACATCAGCTTCAAAGTGACTTGAATAATTTGGTTGCATGGTGCTCTTTGAATTTTCTGAAACTAAACCTAAATGAATACAAGAAGCTTTCTTTCTCAATAAGGAAGCCATTCATTACTCAGTATTTAATTGAATCGCACAATTTGGAGGACGTCGATTCCTTTACAGATTTAGGCGTTCTATTTGACCACAGGTTACGTTTTAACTTACATATTGAGCTCTCGTTAAGCATAGATAGGTCCGCGCTTGGTTTTATAAAGATGTGGTCCACAGAGCTTGATGATCCTTATATTACGAAAAGGCTGTACATGTGTTCGGTTAGATCTATACTTGAGTATGCCTCTGTTGTGTGGTCTCCTTCATATAGGTGCTATGTAGATTCAATTGAATCTGTTCAAAAGCAATTCTTGATGTTTGCCCTTAGGAATTTGGGTTGGGATCCGATTTCCTCTCTTCTACTCTATGAAAATAAGTTGCTTCTGTTGTCCTTACCGTAACTGGAGAAACGTAGGTTTGTTCTTGAGGTTTCCTTCCTAATCAAATTAATAAATGGTACAATTGATTCGCCCGCATTACTTCGTGAGATAGGCTTTAGTGTCCCTAACCGCTTCTCTACGCACTTTATCTTCATTAAGCTTAGTCAATGCAAATACAATTATGAGCTGTTTAACCCGCTCAAAGAAACCTAAATGATGTCTATCACTTATTCTCATTATCGACCTTCTGTAACGTATGTTTTATTACAAAAGTTTTACCATGTCTCTTTTTACAAAATTTCAATATAATGTTTATAGTTTTTTAAATTTTTTTTTTCTTTTTATAAAATTTTATTGTTGTTGTTGTAGTGTTTTTAAGCTATTTTTATAACCACCACTGTAAGATGGGGTTATACTCCATTTGTTTTTTCCCATAATGTATGTAACACCTCAAAGGAAATTTCAAAGAACTTGTAAAGTGTGTATATTCTTGAGGAGCATGATATTTTGAGTTGATGTCTGTCCCTCTGCGTGTTCGAGTGGTGTAAGTTGTTGGCACTCTCCTAGTCACAAGAATGAAGATGTCGACTTCAAATTTGGTAGAAACATTGAAAGTTTCTGCACGCAGGTTGGTATTGAAAATGAACCAAATTGGTCATACCCACCATATTGGTGGGTACACGATATCCGGCCCCCGCCGAATATAACTTCCTTACTTCTTGTAATTCTTTCCTTCTTCTTTAGCTATAAAAAATTTTAGCTAACGAAAAAAATTGTATATTAACAGTGTTCCACAATCTTAATAGTTATTGCCTTTTAAATATGATCCATGGCTAACCCAAACTTACAGAAACACCCTAAAAAAATGTACGCGGTCGTTACGACGTACGAAGCACAATATTAAATAAAAATTAGCATAAAATAGGTGTTAGGAATTTGACCTTTGATAAAATTAGGAAGGTAACGAAGGTTGGTTTACCAAGGATGAGAATAATGTTAACATGCAAAAGCTTAACCTCAATAGGTAGAGAAGATGTGTGTAAGCAAAACGAAAGAGAAGATACACGTACCAATTCTTCTATCAGAGCTAAACAATTGATAGTCACTGCAAAATATTTCTGTATTCAAAGTGTCTGGTCCGTGATTCTGAATAAACAAGTACGTGGAAATCGCAAGCGGAGCTATTGGTAGACAGATCGTGAAATTTAGTTTTCAACCCTCTAATGGAGTACTAAGGATGAGATTAAAAATTAATTAGGCTTTTTAAAGCGGCAGATATTGCAGTCGGATTGTTATTAATTTTGATCTTAGTCTTATAAACCAATTTCTTGAAGAGAACAAAAGACGGCTAGAACGATTTATTTCATAATGACTCAAAACGACTAGACGGGATCGTTACTTTGCAAGATGTCTTCACATTGGTAAAATTTGAATTTCATCGTGCCGGTGAAATCATCCATATAATTACAAGCTACATAAATGTCATTTAGTTGAGTTAGAGATGCTGCCTTCTACAAAATCTGTATCTAAAATGTGTGTAGTAGCCTGAAGTCGCAACTAATACATAGTCAATATACACACTCTTCTAAATAGCTTGTTGACGAATCGATGGGAAGTTTGCGGTGTGGTGTTTGATGATTCAAAGACATCAAAGATTTTGAACGGAGTTTTTATGTGAGTCGCGAACATATCCTTTTCTGCCAAAATAATTTAATAATAGGATTTGACTAAACGCAATTTTAAAGGTACGATATTTATAAGATTTGAATTTAAATCGTAAAGGATATCGATTAGTAATTGTAACACAACTCAATTGGCAAAAGTCTCGGAAATGACGCCATCCCTTTACGGTAGTTCAAGTTAGTGATGAACCTATGTATGTATGCATTTGGCGGTCGCTTTAAGTCTGGTAATTATTGTTATTTTGGCTGGATTGTTATTTGCTTGAGTCAAGAACGGTGGATTGCAAAACCCAAACTATTGTTTATTCGTTTTGGTAGCGCTACATTTTCAGGTAACGCTTTGGAAGTGTGTTCTTTCGTCCGGCCGTACCGCCAATGTAATGTTGATATCCCGTTTCAAGAGAACCTGAAGCTAAGTTTAACTATGACGAGCCTACTTTTGCGTCCGTTTATGTGTCTGGAGAGGACTCATCCTCATCTACTTGTTGGGATTGCTGCGCATAATTCTCGGTCTTCCGTTTGTGTTTTCAACAAAGCG